TGAAGGCTCTCTATCTGTTGAACCAGTCTAAGTGACATGTAGTGGGAACATGAGCCACGTGCACTTGTGAATGTGGTCCTGGGTTGAGACGTCGTGCCTTGACAAAGGGATCCGTCACTTCGGTTTCCGAGAGGAAGTCACAGGTGACGGCTTCCTACACTCAGCTTGCTCTTGGACGAAGTGTTTTTGTTGCAGCTCCAAATGTTCCCTCGCCAAGCGTCCAAGGTCCTACTACACCAGCGCGGAATTGATGTGTGATCAAGACGTGGATCTTAGCCTGTGCAGTAACGGGCATATTCTTGACATCCACACGGCAACAGAACATCAAGATACCTGCCTGGCGTCGCCTTGGCAGTGGCCTGCAGGAATGTTGGATTTTGCCAATTTTGCCTTGCGGCTTCCTTGTTTCACTCGTGGGATCCCGAGTCACAAAGTCACAAAGCACGCGTGTTTAACATCCCTTCCCGCCCCCCTCCTGCACCGCTGGTCGTCGGATTGCTTTCCATGTTCGGTTGGCGCACACAGTGACGAACACTTGCTATCAGACGGTGTGCGTCAACGCGTGCTATGTGCTGCCGAAAAAGAAGCCTTGTTGGGTTTTCCGCGAAGCCACATTTGCAAATGCAATCAAGATAATCAAGCTTGTTAATCAAGCTTGTCAGGACTGGTTTTGATGAAGATTCTCGACACTGCTTGCTTGGGACAGCTTTCCATTGCATTGTTGTGGCGGACCTTGTGCGGATGGGTTTGAAAGCCATAGGCTGGGAGTTCCCGTTACCTTGAGCGGCTGACACATCCAAGCAGCGCAGCCTTCATGTAGCTCCGCTGCCGTGTGAAAGGCATCCTATCTCCTCAGGTCCAACACGAGGTTTACGATTCTCTTCAGGACACTGAGATGAAATTTGCTCATGCAGCTGCTGATTCGGGGACAGCTCTGGCATTCAAGATCACTCGTCGGTCTCTTGCTTGCAACATCAAACATCGCTGCCTCACTTCTTCCTTAGCAGAGCCGAGTACAGAGGATCTGATGTGCGTCTCGACACAGAAACGTTGTTATGCGCCGGAAAAGGCTCCCAGGCTCACCATTGATCCGCATTTAAATTTGCGGGCATGGAAACCTGTTCTTTCCTGGCGTTGGCAATATCGAGCACACATCAACATACTGGAGCTGCTCGCGTGTCTGAAGAGTTTCCGGTGGCACAGGTCGTGCATTTCTTGCACATCCAGGTGTGTCCTTGGCGGTTCTAATCAAGGGGCGACCCAGCTCCATAAAGCTCAAGCACATTCTTCAGCGCATGGCTGCACTCTTGATTGCAGGATATTGCATGCGATGTCTTGCCTCTCTGTGCCTACATCCAGTCAGAGTTCAATCCGGCTCATGCTCCGTCCTGAAGCCATGGGCAAACGCGCATCCGTAGTGACAGGTACTACCCGAGATCAGTGGAAACGACTCCGTCGTCGGCTGGGATGCCTTCGAAATAACCTCATTAAGCCAGCAACCAGCGAACGATATGATAGATGTGATCACTTCTTCATTCTTTTCTTGAAGCAACAGCTGGGTTATCTTCCTCCCACTCCTGTCGAATACGATGCACGGTTGGCTCGGTACATCGAGAACCTTTAGAATCCAGGTCTGTAGCATCTTCGACGCCTCAGTTGCGTAAACAGTTGACACAGAGTTGGAAATTGAAAGCCAGGTGGCATACTTTGGAGTTGCCATGTCAAGCAGCTCCCATGTCACCTGAAATACTCTTGGCATTTGTGCATGTGGCTTTTGCCAAGCGCTGGGACGCGTTTGCATGGCTTTGCCTGTTGATGTTCCTTGGCTTTCTCCGCACGGGTGAGGCACGGTCTGCGCTTGTGAAGCATATGAATGTATGGGCACGTGGTGTGGTGGAGTGGTGCTCGCACTCCGCGATACCAAGGGCTTGCAAATAGCCGACCGTGTGCAGGCGGAAGAAATCCTCATTGAAGATGTTTTGGCTTGTATGGCCGCGGAGGCTTTGCGAAAAACAAGCAGCCTCCAGATCTGCTTGGAGGATTGTTCGCCTACCCATTCCGGCAGCAATGGTTTCATATCGTGCGTTCCGTCTCCAAGGCTGGAAATTTCAGCCGTATTCCTTACGATGGGGCGAGGCCACACATTTCTTTCGCCAGACGAGTAACATGCATCGCGCTTTGCTCACTGGACACACCTCGCCAAAGCCAAGCTGTACATTCAAGAGGCTTCCACAGCTCTAAATGAATTGATGTTGCCTCCGCGCAATTCGTCAGGCGGCTCATCGGAGTCGGCAGGCGCTGCACTGCCATTTGGGAACGCATGGAAGGTCTTGAAATCACAGCGGCTCTCATTCGCCCTGGGAGTAGGCATATATGCTGATTATGAGGGCCCTGGCAGCGGCCCTGGATCTCGATCAGCAGCATGCCCATCTTCAGCGCACGATTGCAAGTCTCATACATCGAACTTTCGAGGGGTTGTGTTCAATTTTCGTGCGTAGAGAACGCACCTTTACCATCAATCTTCACTGATGCAGGGGAAAAATGAGCCCAACTTGTGTGCATGCTTTATCTTCGTCTAACAGTCTAACCTGGGGCAGGCAAAAGATTTGTCGTCATTGGGCATACTTTACCATGTGGAGCTCAGCATCATATGATTTGCTTTTACCCTAAAAACCACTAACCATCGACAGAGCTGAGCCATGGCTCTGAGTATATTGCTCTGTTGGCTAACATGTGGTCCCTTTTCCTGTACTCGGGAGACACCAACAGTTGGTGAGATTTGGATTGACCATCGAAGGCCCAAGCTGGCAATATACCTGGAGACGGTTTCGAAAAGGAGGGAAGTGAGCAAGCATTCGGGAAGGAAATTTAAATCTGGGAGGCTACGTACGCGAAATCTTGGCATGGATTCATGGGCAATTCTGAATGAAAGCAAGGACATGTTTCGGCAAGCCACTCAGTCGTACGTTGTCCGTCAGGGGCATGGCAGCTCCATGGGATTGAGACTGGAGCTACAATGGTGCAGGCCGAGAGACTGCTTCAAGAGCAGCAAGAAAATCCTGAAGCTGGAACAACTGCGGATGCATATACGAAGCTGGAGGATGGCACTAGAATGCCAGTGGATGCATACGCAAAGCTGGATGAAGCAGGCCGTCTGCTGTAATGGTTCCAGGGCAAAACTTGAAACCATATGATACAGCCCTGCTTTTGCATATAAATGTACTTCGTGCTGTACTGAGAGTGGCATGCATGTGCCGAGGCCCGAATTCAGGAATTTGATTTTTTTGAAAGGGATTGCATGGGAATTAAAGTAGGCAAATTAGTCGTGGTTGCATGGGGTCGTCTGCTTGTGAGGTTTCATTGAGGAAGTTCACTGATACTTCGCAAGGGTACTGTGTTTTGTTCGAAGTTATGTTGTGAACATAGCTCCGGTTCTGGCCCTTGAAGTTTCACAGTTGGAATCTAGAGAATTCCAGGGGCCGTACAAGTACCTGAGCACCACCGCCCTTTATAGGCTATCCTCTGCGTGAGGCTGCTTGGATGCACCTGAACACCCGGAGGCACTACCCTCTTTGTAGTCATTGAGATCCAAAACTAGGTACAATTTGTCGCATGTTTGGATCTCTGTGGGAAGCAAGCCTGCCCCTTTGCCTATAGTTATTATTATAGGTTCTTATGTATGCGGGAATGTTGCGTTTCACTTGTCAGCAAACCTCGAACCCTAAGCCTCGCCTGGAGAAGATTCACTGTTCTTTTCTTATTTACAGAAGTCAGAAGCAAAAGAGCTCCTCAATGTTGGGAACACCTGTACATAGCTTTAAAGCTTTGGAAAGCTGCGCAAGAATGCCGGTACGTTTTTGAGCTCAGCTTATCTGAAACACAACCATGGCCTTGATTGTTTATGTATGTACAATTAGAACTGGCACAGTGCGTCGCTGTGTAAGAAAAATATAATGCAGAAGCCTTCCTATGCCTTCCTGCCTGTCAACAACAAGAAGTTCCTTTGCCTTTCAGTATTAGCAAGAAGGAAAAGGGCCATCTCCAACCATGAGCAGAAACACAAGAGCTCCTTCATCCCTGTTTGAGCAATGACGGAGGTCCTATAGGTTGAGCAAGAAGCTCCTAGTCGAAATTTAGGGATTCGACAGTGTCTATAACGTTTCTGCTTGCACAGATATGGTTTACTGGGACCTGGTCAGGGCCACAACGAGAACTACACGTAATACGAGTTACTTATAAGAAGAAGAATACCACTACTCGTACCATGTATATTGTTAGTTATCGTTACATATATGTGTTGTTCATCTAGGTCCAGGCGACATGCCGCCCAGTCTTCAAAGATCCCCAAATTTCCAAATCGGGAAATGATCAAGCCTCCGCCGGGATCAACAACCCTTCAAATTCCCAAAGTCTTGGCATCTGCAAGGCCATCGGTTTTGAGTTGTGAAAAACTTTGGGAAGCTTCCCAACAAAATTCCCAAATCCTGGCATCTACGGAGAATTGTTCGCCTTGTTTCCCGGGTTCGCCGATTACAGCTCGACGAATGACTGCTGATCAATCAGTGGGTCGTCGATGCTCCTGTCAACAGTACAAAAGGACTACAGCGCAGCATCGCACAGAATGCCTGCATGCACGGAACTTGAATTTATTCTACGATGCATCTTTTCGGGTCCTGCACCGCAACGTCGAACTCATCGCATCTCGCGCGGCTTCGCGAGTTCATATTGAAATAGTTTTGACATGTGGAACTAAACACCGCCGTGCTTTTCTTGCACAGTGGAACAAGGTCCTCATGAAGCTCGGTGCAGCCGTGATCGCGACAGACTTGCCAGAGCTATTGCCTCACATGGAATACAACTTGCAGCTGAATGATGAAGGCCTGGGAGTTTGAGTGAACAACGTCTTCGCAAACCGTCTGCAGCGCTTGTGACTCTGCCAATCGAGACTTTATCCATGAGGTGGGTCTCTTCTCGGGAGATGGGCTGTGGATTCACTGAACTGGGACAGCACAGAGGCTGGACTCTCGTTGCAGCGGGTTGTGAACATGTTAGGTCCTTTCTGCACATCCAGCAGGTGTACTCAACATTTGCGAAGCGATTCTGACCAGGCTCGCGTCAAGCTCAGAGGAAGACTGGGAAACAATGGTGCCGATGCAATATTCGCAACGAATTGCTGCTTGGCAAGCAACGACAGGAAATTAAGCTGCCCGCCTACCTGTGACACTCAGTTGCTGCAGTTCTTAAGGTGTTTATGGTCGGGACACAGTGGACATGTTCCTTTCCACCATGTTTGTCCGGACCCGGGCCAGTATCTGGTGTTAGGACGATTCGATGGCATGAAAGGTCCATTTGCCAGATCAGGCTAGAGGGGTTTGCTTGCTGACGGACAGGCTCTGTCTGGCCCGTGCACACTGGCATTGATGTGCGGTGTGCCCGTGCCGCCAGCAGCACTTGCGCCTGAAGAAGCTAGGCGGAGCTTGCTCCTACAATCAGCTCCCCGTGTTTCTTTGTTCGCAGTGAAAAAAGGAAAGTGCGGGTGGTTGCTCTCGGGTTCCGTTGTGCTCGTGTTTGCTGACATTCATTGTAGAGTGTTAACACACACACTTCTGGTCACAGCCAAGGAAGTCAGTATCTTGGATGAATTTCTCGCAGCATGTCCACGTTTCTTTGACTGCTACTTGTTCCTTGGCAGCAGGGCAGCAGGTCCGTGTGAACCTGAACAGCGTGCACCCACCGTCCAGCGATGGCATCCCAGACTGCAGGTTGAAGGTTCCTGGCGGCATCGAGGATGCCGGTGTTGCCAGAGTGCAAGACTCTCCGCTGGCTGCTGAGCTCGGCAAGCCCTACGGACTTTCTGCGGCAGCTGCCCAGCTCGCGATCATAGCATCATGGGTCTGTGGGAGAAGCGATGTGACCCAATGGCGCACAACATGGCAAGACCTCGGTGCACGCTTGTTTAGCCGGCTGAGGCTTTGGCAGATGGTGTTTGGCTCTTCAAGTTGCCAGGGTCGGACTGCCCGTCCTGGGCGAGGTGCAATGTGTGCATGCCACTTTGGCTGGCAGGGCCATGTGTGCCCCGCAGGCCCGTACTATGTATTGGCTATGGCACCACACTGCAGGCAAACTTGCGGCAGTGGCAGGGCATGTGCTGGCATTCCCACATTCAGCTCCTGAGGCTTCAGCGGAAGCTGATTTCGGGGCTTCACCCGCAGTAGGGAAAATGCGAGCAGATCATCGGACGCAGATTGCAACTGCATTAGCTTGTGCTGGCGAAACCACGCAAGCATCTTTGACATCGTCTGCGCGACCTAGGCGGAAGTTTGACGTCCCTGGTTTCGTCGCAACTCAAACGCATTTGTGAACTGTTGCCTCGGCTCTTGTTTCTTTCTGTGTGCCCGACCGGATGACGTTTAGTGCTACGGCTGGCATGTAGCAGGTCATCACTCAACAGGCCCCAGTCAGATGTGAAAACCCAAAGCATAAGAAGAGCTTGGGCAGCAGAAGCCTTGTCAACTTGTGGATCTCCTTTGTACCCTCTGAGGCGAAGTATCCAGGGGCAGTGCCCCCGGGGGCAGGAAGCTGAGCGAAGCGGAAGGTTTCTTGTGGGGCATGAGCACACGGCCTTGCGGAGCCAGGCAGAAGCGGCACCTGCGCCCAAGAAAAGAAAGGCAAAATCAAAAGCCAAGGGCACGACTGGCTAACAAAAAGGTGAGCGCACATTTTTTTGTTGAGACGGCCTGGGGACTTGGGCGACTTGAGGCTTGAACTCAACTCAGGACGAGGCTGATGTATATTGACAAGGCATCTATAGGTCAGCGAATCCAGCAGTGCATACATCTTGAAGCACCTGTTGAGCGTGAGGCATGCCGGGCTCGAAGGGCAATTCTTCTATTCCATGGCTCCTTCGTAATTGCCGCATTTCGGAGCAGATCAGGTTCTAAATCCTTTACCAGAGGACTTGTGATAGGAACAGAGAACACTGCTTAGGGAGCATTGTCTCCCACCTGGACGATCATGCAGGCTCGGCTGCATGATCACTTCGCGAAGTCATTGTGACAAGTTTCTGGCATGGTGCTAGACCGCATTTGGCACACTACTTGAGGGCAAGGCGACGGGAAGGCCAAGCGTACTAGCAGCTTACTAGCAGGTCGAACACCATTATACAAAATCTGCGGTTTCGGTCCAGTCATTGCTGTAGGATCCGGCAGCACACCTGGAAAAGGTTTCTGCATTAGTGGCTTAAAGGTGCTACCGCCAAGATCCGCGAAGGTTTTGGTCTGACCGAAAATCCACATCGCTGTCGGGCTTATTGTGTCAACCCTGGCAGACAATCGGGCGTGGGCGGATAGAAGAAATCAAAGATTTCTGGATTCCATTTCGTTTTCTGAAGGTGTAAGGCGTTAGGTCTCAGACGTACCTCTAGCGAAGAATGAGCTCTAGAATCTAGAAGGTACGAATTTTCTTTGTGCGCTCACGAACTACGTGGTTCGCGGTTGATTCCCGCGCGTGGTACAAAAGGCATGTTCTCAAGAACGGACGTGCAGAAAACATCGGCAGGGGTGGGATTTCAGCACATCGGGCAA